GTTCGTTTTTATTTTTTAATTAGAGAGTGGGAAACTCCTACAGCTCCACTCCTTAATAGATTGCGAATCTTAACTTTGCATAATTTGGATGATTGATCTGTATAATAAAAATTTGCCTTTTCTTTTGATAGATCATTGTGACATTCTACATTATAGCTACTCCAGAAGGCAAACAGAAGGTGGAAAACTACGTCTCCCAAAATTTAGAACGACACAAAAATCTATTTTCATTGTCTCTTGTGATTAGTTACTTGATTACCTATTAATGTCAGATTCTGTTACAACACATTTGTGGAACAAATCATTAATTATAAATCATTGCGAATAGTCTATATGTATACACATATTCTATTTCATATTATCAGTTTGTATCTTGTACGACATTGTTAAAGAATTTGTTTGTCTTAGTATCGTTTGTATAATGGTAAATTCATTTTCCCCTGAAGGTTACTTGTACAGAAAACATTGTTTAGCTGTAAGGCGTAAGGATCGACTAGCACATATGTTATTATCTTGCCCCTTTTACTAACCTATATTTTATCTTCTTGTATAATAATTGTGGCAGTTTCGTGCTTTTTGTGCATGTAGAAAGTGGAGAACTCCTACAGCGCACCTACTTAAAAGATTGTGAATCCTAACTTTTTATAATTTGGATTATTTAACAATCTCTATTTTTATGTTTGCTCTTTTAAATAATATGTTTCCTCATATTTTGATAGATTACTGTAATATTCTAGAATAAAGCTACTCCAGAAGGCAAACAGAAAGTGGACAATTATATGTCTTCAAAAATTAAAACGACACAAGGTCGATTATTATTGTCTTTTGTGGTAACTAAAATTTTTGAATAGATTACCTGCTAATGTCAGATTCTGTTACAACACATTTGTTGATCAAATCATCAATACAAAATCTATGCAAATAGTCTGTATATGTACAAAAATTATATTTGATATTATAAGTTTGTATCTTGTAAGACATTGTTATTGAAGCCTATTTTGTTTGTATCGATTGTAAGGGTAGATTCCTTTTTTGTTTGTTTTCCGAAGGTTACTTGTACAAATTACATTGTTTAGTCGAATGCGTTAGGATCGGCTAGCAAATATAATATTATCTAGCCCCTTTTACCAACCAATATTTTCTCTTCTTGTACATATAAATATCGTTGTATGAAATGCATGGTACTTATTTGCTGTTGGTAAATCAATCAATCAAACACAAAAATCTAATACAAATTCCAAACATTAACAGGATTGTAACTATAAAAGTGATGAACATGTATATGGAAATAAATTAGCATTAACTCAAATCACATCAAATGAAATAAATTCAACATTTTAAAGTATCCAGAAGGAACCACAGGTGTTTGAAAGAACATATTTTGTTTACGATGATGAATAATGGGGCTTCGATGAGCTCATGTTGCTTTCTAAAGGAGCAATTCAGGAGGCAGGTGGGAGTAGGAGGGCAACAACCGGCAAACGCAACATTCATCTTCATTTAACAAGTAAATGAGGGTAAATTCATCTTCATTTAACAGCTACAAGAAGAAAAATTAATCTTCGTTCACAGCTAAATGAGGATAAATTAATCTTCGTTAACACAGTTAAATGAGGATAAATCCATTTTCATCTAACAGTTAAATGAGGATAAATTCATCTTCGTTAACAGCTAAATGAGAATTAATTCATCTTCGTTCACAAAGTAAAATATGGAAAAAATAATTTTCGTTATCAATTCATCTTCGTTAACAGCTAAATGAGGATGAATTAATCTGGATTAACACAATTGATTGAGGTTAAATTAATCTTCATTAACAGCTAAAAGGAGGATAAATTAATTTTCGTTCATACAGTAAAATATGGATAATTAATCTTCTTTAACACAATTGAATGAGGATAAATTCATCTTTATCTAACAGCTATATGAGGATAAATTAATCCTCGTTTAGACAGTAAAATAAGGATAAATTAATGTTCGTTAACACAATTAAATGAGGATGAATTCATCTTTGCCAACCTTCGTTTAAAGCAGCTAAAAATGAGGATAAATTCATCTTTGACAACACCGTATATTGAGGATAAATTTAATCTTGTTTAAGGTACTACCTCCCATTTGCAGGTCAAAACAAACTGAAAAGGTTAAATTCCAACGGCGTTCGAAAGGAAAATACTTATTAAGAACTTCCCTCAAAACGAAAGGGTTTGAAAATGGCTTTTGTGGGAAATAACAACCATTAATTGTCAGATCGACATAAGAGATTGCAACAACCTAAGTAATAGTCTGAAATTCAGACCCTTGTACCGCCATGGTCGGACGTTTAGTGCTGCTGAGGACTCTGGCATGTCTTCAAATGGAACTTGAAATGCTGCTGAGCTGTGCAATGAGGTTTATGAATAAGGAGAATTGAACATTGCATGCAAAAAATACATGTACCAACTTTTTACATTTTACAATACCAATTTTTAGGGGAATTGCCGTCTTATTTTGTTGAAGCTTCACGTCTTTCCTTTTCAATACACTCACAATACAAATTGCGTAAGCACCGTCGCACGCGCAGATCGGTCGATACCTCCATTCATTTCCCCATTGTCAATGATTGTCGTCTAAAGCCGTCGGACGATTATCAACCGAGCCATAAATAATAGGCCTAAGCCTTCGTGGTTTTACGTGGGTTTTCGACACATTTTGTAACTATATTCTGACCAACATTATGCCATGATCTACACTAAATGCCCTTTTTTTAAATGTGCAAATCAAATATAGGACTATTTGGGAAATGAATTTTGAGATGAACATTGTTTTATTCTCGAAAACAAAAATAAGATTTACTTTGAATGCTTTCGACTTCGTTTCTCATAATTTGAAATATTCATTTTGTTTTAGTTTTTGCCTCCCGCTTAATTTTGTTTATTTTTTCTCTATCTATATATTTCTTTGAACCCTATTTTGATATGAGGTTGCTGTATCAATAAAATATTTATTTAATTTTTGTACGCATATTGGATTTGTTTTGTTTCTAATGGACAGAGCTAAATCAATGACAGAGATTACAACAAAATCATAATTCATCACAATCATCTCTCTGTCTCTCTCTCTCTCTCTTTCTATTTATTTATCTATCTATCTCTGTCTGTCTATGTCTGTCTCTCTGCCTCTCTGTCTCCCTCCTCCCCCTCCCTCTCTGAATACGTCAGGAATTTTGTGAAATTGGAATTGTGCTTCAGTGTGTTTTATTTCCGCATCGCGTTGTTTTTGTTTGTTGTTGAAAGGGTGTGGCTAATAAGGAGTTAATCGCCGTAGTCTTGGTAGTCTTTTATTTATTCGAAAATAAATGATATTGAAAATATAGTAATTCATTATATGTTATGAAACAATAAAGAAAGAAGTGCACACAACGTGAGAATTCAATTTATTTGTCTTCGTCTCCATCTGTGTTCTCGTTCAACATATCGTGTCAATAAAACTTTGATAATCCTCGTTTCATGATTAGTTCTGTAGATGGCATGGGCATGTAAACCGGTACATGAAATGATGATGATGATGCTCACAATATTGTAATAAAATAGTAATGATAATAAAAATTATTTTCTTCATCTTGCACTCGCTTTTCTTCATTGCCAGAAAACTTGATTTTATGTTGCCTTGCATTTTTTTCCTTAAACAATGCTAGCATCTTTGCCCCGGAAAAGTCTCATATTCGTGGCTATACCGCCGAAGTTGCTCAAGACAAGAGTGATATGATAAGAGTAAGGGGTCGTTTTTCAGAACATAACAGTTCAACATTTCATATGCCCGCTCAAACCAAGACCGGCTTGATTTAGGTTGATCAAGATATTTTACTCATACCTGCTCTAAAATGGTTAAATGCCCTAGTTAAGGTATATAAGTTAGAGTGGTTGTTTGTATTGTCATGTAAATTGACCTATTGACCTACGTTTAGGCTTTTACATCCTCTTCTTTCAAAACGGTAAACTTCCAGACTAGTTACTTCTTTACAATCTTTTGTTCCTCTTAGGGTGGGGGATAAGCCTTTCATAAAAGAGGTCCATACATGAATGATTCGCTAAATTGGTCAAGTTTATAAAATGAACAGCGTATTGTCATGTAAATACCCTACATCGATAAGGCTTAGATTTAAATAGTATATGATGAAGAAAATGCCACACCGGTAGGGTAGATATATATAAAAAAAAGTAATCAGGGTCGAAATCGAACTGATAATACGACCCGTAATACGAATATCTGAAAAGGGGAAGTGTGCATACGGAACTTGGAAGTATAGCGTCAAGCCAGAATCCTGGCAAGAATATAGAACGGACGCGCGCGTACGCGTCCGTCTTCAGCTGTACGGGTATTTCGGGCCTTTTTTTCCATCCGAACACTAACTTGAGTAAAGCTGAAATGATATCACTTTTTCTCGATTTTTTTCTACGTAACTATATTATTTGTTTAATAGATGAGATAAATGAATATATCTAAATAATAATTCAAAGAACTTTAGCACATAATAGCTAATAATAAGCTGGACAACTTTGTCAACATATTAGGGATATGTCTCGGCTTCTGTAGAAGCCCGTCGTCACGGACTTAACAACTCGCTCGGCTGCTGTAGAAGCCCGTCGTCTCCAAAGTGTAAAACGAACAATGGTCTAGTTTATGACAGTGTTAATGTAATTCGACCCTCTTAGTAACCTACGATTCGATTCAGTTTCGGTTTGTCAACGTTGATTACGTGTGAACGTCTGTTATATCTCGTTTTATTGTTCAATTAAAATTCATACCATCAAACTACAACTCGTTTTCTGATTGATTATTGTTATATGTGAGTATCGCCACTAAGCCGAGTACAATCCATGTGACACTCAGAATAGTCCAAAGATCATCGATACTAAAGGATACGTGCTTATTTACACAGTACTTCAATATCAAATATCATGATGTTAGGAAAGCACGGTAATATCATGAGGAAAACATTGTAGGTGTGAATTACGTTTAACATGGCGCTGTTTTCTGCAGCGGCAATAGGAGACGTCCAGAAGATACAATCATTAATCGACTCAGAAGACAAGTCCGAGGATTCGAGAGGAGTTGATGTAAACTGCTCGGATGCATCTGGCAAGACACCCCTTCACATTGCTTCGGCAAACGGACATTTGCAAACGGTTAAATGCCTAACCAATCATGGAGCAAAGGTGAATGTAATCGATGCTAACCTACAGACATCGGTTCATTTATGTTCAAAGAAAGGCCATCTTCATGTGGTAGAGCTGTTAGTGAACGAAGGAGCAGACATTAAAATTGGCGACAAAGATGGGTTTACAGCTCTTCACATAGCATCATTCGAGGGTCATGTTGACATTGTCAAATACCTTGTTAGTAAAGGGGCAGAGCTGGAGAGACTTGCTAATGATTATTGGACACCTCTACACCTTGCATTAAATGGTGGCCATCTTGACCTTGCAGAGTACCTTTTGACAGAAGGAGCCAACATTAACTCGTGTGGTGAAGGTGGATGTACAGCTCTACATGCTGCATCACAAACTGGTAATATTGATGGAGTGAAATATCTAACTAGTCAAGGAGCAGAGCAAGATAAGATCACTGAGGATGGTTGGACCGCGCTTAGTCTGGCTTCATTTAGGGGACACCTTGACATTGTCAAATTTCTCGTTAACGAAGGGGTAGAGGTTGACAAAGCACTCAGGAACGGGATGACACCATTGTGTCTTGCAACAGAAAAAGGCCATTTGGGTATTGTCGAAGTCTTACTGAACGTAGGAGCAAATATTGATGACTGTAACCGAGACGGGCTAACAGCACTCCACATTGCAGCGTCCAATGGACACGTTGAAATAGTGCATCATCTCATTAGCAAAGGGGCACATCTTGACAAATGTGACAAAACCGAAAGGACACCCTTGTTTTGTGCTTCTCAAAAAGGCCATATTGAAATCGTCGAGTATATCGTGAACAAAGGAGCAGGCATTGAAATTGGTAATAAAGATGGGTTTACAGCTCTTCACAGTGCATCCCTCAAGGGTCATCTTGATATTGTCAAATACCTCGTTAGCAAAGGGTCAGACTTGGGGAGACTTGCTAATGATTACTGGACACCTCTACATCTTGCCTTAGACGGTGGCCGTCTTGACATTGCAGAGTACCTTTTGACAGAAGGAGCCAACATTAACACGTGTGGTAAACGTGGATATACAGCTCTGCATACTGCATCACAAACTGGTAATATTGATGGAGTAAAATATCTAACCAGTCAAGGAGCAGAGCTGGATAGGAGCACTGACGATGGTTGGACCGCGCTTAGTTTGGCTTCATTCGGGGGACACCTTGATATTGTAAAAGTTTTCGTTACGGAAGGGGTGGAGGTTGACAAAGCACTCAAGAACGGGACATCACCCTTGAGTCTTGCAACAGAAAGAGGTCATCTGGGTATTGTCGAGGTCTTACTGAACGTAGGATCAAATATTGATAGCTGTAATCAAGTTGGGGGTACAGCTCTTCACAACGCATCATTCAAGGGTCATCTTGATATTGTCAAATGCCTTCTTAGGAAAGGGGCACAGCTTGACAAATGTAACAATAACGACAGGACACCCTTGTCTTATGCATCTCAAGAAGGACATCTTGAAGTCGTCGAGTATATCGTGAACAAAGGAGCAGGCATTGAAATTGGTGATAAAGATGGGGTTACCGCTCTTCACATTGCATCATTCAAGGGTCATCTTGATATTGTCAAATACCTTGTTAGGAAAGGGGCACAGCTTGACATATGTGACAACAACTACAAGACACCCTTGTCTTATGCTTCTCAAGAAGGCCATCTTGAAGTCGTCGAGTATATCGTGAACAAAGGAGCAGGCATTGAAATTGGTGATAAAGATGGGTTTACAGCTCTTCACATAGCATCACTTAAGGGTCATTTTGATATTGTAAAATACCTTGTTAGTAAAGGGGCAGACCTGTGGAGACATGCAAATGATTACTGGACACCTTCACGCCTTGCTTTTAATGGCGGCCATCTGGATATACATGACTATCTCTTAAATAGAGAAGCAACAAAGATCGTTAAGCCATTCATTGGGTTTAAAGAGGAGCACTATGACTACCTTCGCAGTACGTTTGGTAGTGAGGCTTTCCCTGGCTTAATGCCCCAATACTCCCGAACATACGATCCATATCTTACCAGTCCACAAGACAGCTCTCGCTCCTCGAGGAAGAGTATCACAGAAGAGACGATGATTATAAGTCTCGACGAGTACAGCATCAAGGTTCCAATTTCACCAGACGATGTGGACAGAGCCAAATATATCACAGCAGAAGCATTGACAACCATTCCACCTGACTTAAACCTGGACAAAGACGAAGTTATCATCTCAGTTGGGCTCAAGCTATCCCCTCCTGGTCTTCAGTTTAAAACTCCGGTGGAAGTCACGGTCTCACATAGCGCTATTTTCACCAACCCAGACAAGGCAGAAATTGTGCTATACACCCGAAGGACTGGTAAGATCTTCCTATTATCATAGATCCCATATTTCCATATAAATTCCTTTCTCTTGTTGTGACAGTGCAGAGAGCCCCTGACTGCCATGACGAACCCATCACAATTATGACAGAGATCTTCACACAAAATGCTTCCCTACTATTCTTGATATCATATGACCTCACTTCAATTTTGATATTCCTCTGGGAATGTTCTTATTCACTGAGTTTTACTTGATAAATTTCTATTAGAATAGAAATTCGCTTGAAATAAAAACTGTTTCAGTCTTTGTGTTTGAATAACTTTTACATCGCACAGTTCAAACAGCCGCTCTTTTCGGGATTCTTGTAGAAAGATCGAAGGAAAATATGAGAATGATTTAATGCATAAAACATTTTGTTAATAGCCAATTACCAAAAAGCATTTGACATTTTTGTCTACGTCAATGATCATCATTGTCAACAATTACCTCCAACAAGGCTCCTCAGTGAACCCGCAAAACTTATTTAATTTCTTTATTTGTGAAAGTAAATCCCAGAGTATGACATTTCACTGCGTAACAAAATGAACACGGTTCCCTTTCTTTTGTTGTTGTTGTTGACAGAGTCTGATGAATTTTCAAGGATAGTTCTTGCTTCTGACAAAGCTGCTCGGTGTGTAGTCGCCAAAAATCACCTCACTCTGTATTTAGACCATTTCTCGGAATGGTGGATTATCTCCTTAATCAGGAGATACTTCATCGGTAAACGGCTCATCTGTACGCCCTACGTTCCCCTGTCAACAGCCAGAGATGTCATGAACTACATCTTGCTAATTATTAAAGACGACTTCTGCGGCATGAAAGAGGTAGATTTATCATGAATTAACAGTTCGGTATTATGTTATCTGAAAAAGAATTCAAATGAATAAATGTTGAAATGGACAGGAAATCCTTTAGTAACTCCATGCAGTTTATAGCAAACACGGGAATTGGGACGGAACGTTTTTTTACCATGTTCTTTTAATTGCCTTTTGTTGTGCCCCCGGTCTTCCAGTGGTTACGATGTCAATACTTGTTTGTGTAACGTTTTCTTAGCAGAGGGGTCCGTTGTCGGAGGGGGAAGGGGGGGGGGGCAGGGTGGTCACAACAAATATCCAAAAAGATACAGATATAATATTAAAAACTGATAAACGTTCGCATCTTGAAGTAAATAATTAGTTCGAGACTCATAAAAGGATCATCCATTTTTACCACCCAGGTTTATCTGAGTCCCTTGCAATTGCTGCAGTACATTGCAGTGCCCTCTGGAAGAACAGCACTATTAGAATTATTGCAACTATTATTATTATTATTACTATTATTGTCATCATCATTGTGTCAATATGGATCCATATATGTTCAACCTTTTGCAGGATACCATACAAGACTACAAGGTAGCCTTTCCTGGTGAGCAGTACTGTGTATATTGGGGACAAGGACCCCTATTTGTCCGACATTTGGAAAACGAAGACGAAGTGTCAACACAGGTGAGAATCTCAATATATTTGATACTGTAGTTTCCCCCGAAGTAAATTATCCTGACAAACAAATCGTCCGTTTCTTATTCGGCATAGTCTAATATATATATTTTTAACCTGGGGACTCAAAGTTACGAGGCCATTGCTTTGCCACTGAATCGTGACTATTCACAGCGGGGGTTAGGATAGGGGGCAGCCCCAACAAATCAAAACAAAACAAAGAAAATGCAATAAATGATCAATAATTCATTGAATTTCCCCCGGTCCCTAACAGGAACAAACTCCTCTGTACGCCAATGCATTATGGTTCAAGGCATGACCACAGAGGATCGTTTTCTGCTGAGGACCGGGGGAAAATGCATTGAATTATTGATAATTTCATAGGGTGTTAATTTATGGTTATCTCTGATTTTCTTAGGAACTCGAAGAATGTGCTTTCTTTGACATGACGACCCATCGGATGCCGTTCACTCTTCAGCCACGTGAAAAAATAATATCCGGAGTTCTCGTCACTTTCATCTTGAAGCAAAAAATCACGAAGCGTATCGCCTGCAAAGTACTGTACAACGGTAATATCAAGGGCATGCATTCTTTTGGGGAGGGGGTGGCTTAAAGACTTCCACTGGCAGAGAAAAGTGTATTCTTGTGCAGTTCCAGGAATGATTATTTCCTGAGCTTCGGAGTGAAAAACATCAGATTTAACACGAACATAACATTCCACAAACATTATTATTTTTTTTTTAGGCGTTTTAAATAAGTTGTGTAAGAAAGACGTTAATCACAGAATGCGGAGAAACAGGGTATAAAACACTGAAACGGATGGCTCAAGACCGAGAAACTTGGAGAGACACTTGATATAACATTTTGACTGGGTCACTGAACCTGTCATAAACTGACAGATCACTATTGATGATGAAGAAAGACGTGAGATTTTACGAATTCAAAAAAACGCATTTTTATTGATACTAAACAAAGAAGCTCCTGAAAACAAAACTGAACTCTCTACCAGTTTTGTCGATCCTGGTATCATTTTTTCATGTGACATGATTCTACTACTGCTGGTACTAGTGAATTCGACCAATATCATTGGAACTATGCTAGGCCGTGTATATAGCGCCACCCTGTATTATGTACGTTATTGTTTACGTGCAACGCTATACAGTTCATTTGGTGTAGCAAAAGCACCATGGCAAGTGACTCCAATTTGTAATAATAATGATTTTATGCTAATCGCTTTTCATCACGTTGAAATCATGTATTCACAATTCAGATGTGCCGCGTGAGAATCCAATTGCCAAATCAACTCCGACAGGATCTGCATCGTCCAAAGGCAAAGCTGAACCAACTGATGTTCTACGGGGAACATCCAAATGTAAGATTTAAAAACAAATATTAATCCTAGTTTTCCCTTTTGTTCATAAACAAATCTTTTGATATGCAAGTCATCGTTTCAAGAAACCCTCATGGGTACAAATGAAAAACGAATGTTAAAATAACACGCATTTAAAGGAATTTCGGCGAGCTTGTTTTATGAAACAATTTCCTTATTATAAAAAGACGATTTGAACAAAGTCGACAAAATTAACATTATATTTGTGCTATTCTGATTTGATTTTGATTGATTATTGTATTTTCAGCACCTCAGCTCCCCGAAGAGCTGACGAGAAGCGAGCATGATCTTAAAACGATAGGTTCAACATCACCTGAGCCTGCAGGCACAAAGGGTAAGACTATGTCCTATCAGGAGCGGTTCTGGAGGAATACATATGAATATGTTTTTTTTTTCATTTTTTTGATTATTATTATTTGTTTATTTTATTTTTTTTTTTTTTTGGGGGGGGGGGAATGCAGGGGATGGGGGGGGGGGGGCTCAAGAACCGTTACTGCGGCCTATATTCTTGTAATTGGCTTTTGTTTTAAACATCCTGTAATGTATCATCGATGTTTTTCTAAACCGTATAATATTTACTCTTTAAATTGAACATCTTTCGCTACATGTTCCATGTTTTATCTCAATCATGTCACTAAACCAAATTAATACAATATAATCCAAGAGTCGACTTGCGATAAATAACGAATGAGAGAGAGTTCTTTACAGCACAGGTTGAAGTCTGGTTTTAATCATTTTCTTAAAGCCTTTTTTACGTTGCTTTATTTTAGATAGAAGTAGTCCTACTGAAGTCCTTACAATACCTAGGCCGTTGACTCCACCATCGATAGAGTCACCGTCATGTGAACATGCCTACCAAGAAACAGAGACAGGAGCTATTGGTGAGGAGTTGAAAGGTAAGTCGTGTTCTTGGCTCTGCAACAAAAAAGTCAATTGTATCTCCCAACAATTTATCTTATCTCCTCAATCAATCTTAACTTTAAGTTGAATAGTTACTGACATTTAATTTCATGTTACAGATAGTAACGAACGAACATCTTTTGTCAAAACATGAATCTATAAATGCTACATTCGACCAATGTGCAATATGTTGGCGGGTTACCCGTAACGGTTGCTGGAACATAATCGGGGTAATAATATCTAAAGCCCTTTAGAAGCGCATATATTGTGATATACGCTTATTTCCTTTACATGCTCTACGGAAATTTAAACGATGTAATTGATTTACGTCATACTATCTTATTGTGCGTTTTATTTTAAGCCTCGACATCATCGACAGAGCCCGTCCATTCATTAGAGTCTGCAGCAGAGGAGACACTGGGAGTCTTAGCCCCACAAGCATTTCCGGCAGACATTGTCCAAGAATTGGTTCCAGGACTTTCAGGAATTCGAAATAGGCACCAGCGTTCTAGGAACGTCTATATAAACGTCAACAATATCAAAGTCATCAACAATCCCCAAGGGAATAATCCTCATGGAAAAATTGCTGCCCCTGCCCCTGTTTCAATTGCTTCCATAGTACCTCCTAGGCTACAGCATGAGCTGCGTTGCCGGTTGAACAGAGAAAGCCCAGTGTTTGATGACTGGAGGGGTCTTGCCAATCAGCTTAAACTTGACGAATACATAACACATCTGGAGCAGTGCGAGAATCCGACTAAAGAACTACTCGTACTTGCTGAGAGTCAAAAGAAGATTCAGAACCTTGAGGACTTGGCTAAGGCGTTCGAACGCATGAATCGTGGGGATTGTCAAGAGCTTTGCGAGAACTATGCGTTTGAGAGAACAAAGTCAGCTGATCCTCGGAAGGATCAAATGGAAGATGATGACACAGACACCAGTGATTAGAGAACAGGCTCAATGTGTTCCACATCACCCTTTAATCCAGGGTCTATTGCTCGTTATTCATACAACCTATGAACATAGCGCTATATGGTTGTTGTAATCTACCAACTACCTGTCATTTGGTTTAGAACACCAAAATTATTGGATTTGCTCGAATAATATTAAAGGTATACTCTAAGGTCCGTATTTCCCTGATTCATTTAAGCCATATTCAGGGTATAACAATTATGTTTAAAAGAAAACTTCGAATCACAGACCAATTTAATTTTTGAACCTGCTTTTATGGACAAAAGTCTGAATTCAGCGTCGGGTTTAAATATTTGTACAATGTGGGCCTATACAAGTGATCAAACATAGGTTAAGGAGGAAATGTGCATGTTTGTTGGGTAAATTATTACCCAATATTGCGTAAACGTTATTCAATTTGGAGTACATTATACCCATTATTGTGTAAACGCTTACCCTCTAGTAATATGCTTCGCTGCATCAATATAATTACATTGATTGCTTTTACAAGAACAAAGCAGTGAGATTCACTCTTGAAATATTCATCGATTTTGAAAAAGCAACTTTGACACATTTAATCCTTATTCACTACCTAAACTCTATCATAATGGCATTCGAGGTTTACCTCGTGCATGGTTTATGGACTATCTCAGTAGCAGATCTCATATTGTTCAATGTGGTCATACTTTATTTGAAAGGAATAAAAAAAAAGATGTGGTGTTCCACCAGGATCAGTACTAGGGCCAACTTTGTTTTGAACTATATAAATAATCTGCCATCATTAACTGATTATTTCAATTTATTGCTGTTAATTTTGCAAATGATTCTAACATAAGTCATACTTATCCAGCTGACCAGGGCGAAATTAATGTGGATGAAGAAATTAACAACACACGGAAAAGTGGTGCATTGCTAACAAACTTACAATCAATTCAATGAAAACGTAGTAGGAGTAAAAAAAAATTGTTTCTAGGCGTACTTCGACATTATCATATAAAACGTGGATAAAACCACACAGGTATGGGGAAGCAGCATAAGGTTAGCCTATTAAGAAGCATATTGTATTCACAGAAAATAGCAGTTCGTGCTTTTTTTCATTTAGAGAGTGAATTACTTATACAGCTCAATTACTTTCATGTTTGATCTGTTTAATAAAAGTTTGTCTCATATGTTGATATATAGTGTATAGAGTATATATAGAGAGAGTATAGTTACTCCAAAAGGCAAACAGAAGGTTAACAATTACGTCTGCCAAAATTTAGAGCGACACATGGTCGATTTCCATTGTCTCTTGTGGTTAGTTACTTCATTAACTATTAATGTCAGATTATGTTACAACACATTTGTTGAACAAATCATGAATCAAAACGCCATGCAAATAGTCTGTATGTGTACAAACATTATATTTAGTATTTTGTAAGACATTGTTAAAGTTATATTTTTTTTTATAGTATTGATTGCAATAGTACATTAATTTCTTTGTTTTTGTTTTGTTTTCTGAAAGTTACTTGTACAAAATACATTATTGAGCTGTGCATAGGGCGTTAGGGTCGACTAGCACATATGCTATTATCCGCCCAATTTACCAACCAATATTTTCTCTTCTTGTACATATAAATATCGTTGTATGAAATAAATGGTACGTATTTCCTTTTCGTAAATAAATCTATCAAATACAACAATCTAATAAAAATAATAAACATTGACAGGATTGTAACCAGAAGAGTGATGTACATGTATATAGAAGTGAATTAATATCAACTCAAATCACATAAAAAGAAATAATTTCAACATTTGAAAGTATCTAGAAGGAACCACAGGTGTTAAATTGAATATTTTGTTTAAGATAATTAAAACAATTAGCTCCTGTGGCCAGGAGCAAGGCAAGACTTGCGATTTTATTGCCTTTCATATGCGAGTATCCTTTTTTCTAATGTCATTAAAAAACAAAATATATATATGAGAGAGACAAAATCTTTATAAAAAAGACAACTAAGGAAGGAAGAAATCTGCCAAATTAAAGGGGATCCCTCATAAAAAAAAACTGAACATTATTACGTTTTGCATGGGATTCTTCTCATTCAAACGTTTATTACAAAGAGGTTCGTCTTTTATATTACCTTTATTCGACGTTTATTCTTCTTCATACTTATCAAACTGTTTATGTATACTTTATGTACTTTTAATTTTAATTGCATTGGATTAATTGAACTTTTAAGTATATCATGAAGATATTCGTTATAGATAGGTATGATAGGCGCTCCTTTGTTATAAGTTCATTAATTTTGTGTGAAAGCAGAAAAATAAGAAACTCATGATTGCAAACGTTTAAATAAATCGGTCAAATAATGAAGCAGTTATGAATGTTTGAAAAATGATATCTCTAAATCTATATGCGAATCTCAAATTGGCAATTGGGTCAATGGATTGTGATGTATTCGTGGACAATTCTTTCGTTTGTTGTGTACAAAAATATCAGGATTTTCTGTTTTTCTCCTTAGTGCCTTCTTCCTTGGGGCACTCCTACATACAATGTATTATGGATAGCATATTATATTATATATTTTATATGATATGTGTTTTTATTTGTGTTTGAAATAAATTGAATCAAATTCAATTGAATATATTGCGAGAATCTCAGTTTGAAAAGAAATTACATATTTTGCACACCCAATGACGTTAGAATACAGTCATTCAAAAAGGGCATTGACTGGAACGCGGTCCTATACAGAGTGAGTCAGAAAAAATGTCCCACTTTTCAAAAGTTGTAATGTTTGAAGTATGAATATTTAATCATGGGTTTCATTATATGTCTTAATAGAGTTATCCTCTTAGTACATTTAGGTACCATTTTCATTTGAATCTCTGCATGCATGACTGAACATCAGACAATCTTTACAAGACTCCCAGATCTCACTTGCGCCAAGTTACTGGGTGAGGAATAAAACAGTGCATTGAACAAAGACAGTCAGACAGACACGCACAAACACACACACGCACACGCACACACACATGTATGTACACACACGCATACACGCACACACAACACACACCGTGACAATTATTTCATAATTTCCCCTTTTCTGATTAAGCAATGATTTTTCTCAAGATCGCTGAATGTTTAAGTGGCATAGCCCTGACAATATTTCCCTTTAGTACAAATTCACTACCACCATCATGTCATCATCATCATCATCATTGTCATCATCTTAATCTTCATCATCATCATCATCATCATGAAGCACAACAGAGGACAGCGGCCACTCAACTTTTCGTACAAGAAGAAGAATGTCTGTCTGGCAGTCTTTGTTCAAAACACTATTTTATTCCTCACCTAGCTACTTGGCGCAAGTCAGATCTGGCAGTCTTGTAAAGAATGTCTGATGTTCAGTCATGCATACATAGATTCAATGAAAATGGTGCCTAAATGTACTGGGAGGATAACTCTATCAAGACATAATTATCATGAAATCCACGATTAAACAATCATACTCCAAACCATACAACTTTTAAAAAGTGGGACATTTTTTTCTGACTCACTCTGTAGAGCTCTCAATGCTTCATCAGTCGAGGGTTTCATACACATATAATTTTGGCAGAAAGATAATAAATTGCTGAGATTATTACATGTATCATTCGTGTGTGTATTTGGTAACAAAGTGAACGCTAATCAGTATACGCTCTTAGAATTAAGTTGCATGTAGGTAGCTGCTGGTTGTTTTAGAGAATTACCCGATTCTTGGCAATGATTTTAAAACTTCAGCGCCACAGGTTTTGACCATTCTAGGGGCAATTTACTTACAACAGATTCATATTTTATACCATCAAGCTATTCATATTGGGGGTGATATTCTGAAAACTTCTGATTTTCAGAATACTGAATTAAAGATATGTTAAGGGTATTTCAACCCACAAATGAACCTTCAGCAACGACTTTCTCGGATCCAGTACTCCAGTTTGTATACTATTTGATATGGGCAGACTTAGGTTACTTGTACAGAAGTTAGAATATTTATCCTTGCACTAAGTAAATATCTGAGATTTTTTGTTCTTTTACATTTAAGAAAAGAAAAGTACAATAAAGGGATAGTTTTTCAAAGTCCATCACTATAACAATTATATATTCTGAACATTTTGGAGGACAGTGACACAAAAATCATGAAACATAATATTTTCTTCTTAATGGAATACATAAATAAAGGTGATATTTAAGTAGATCCTCGGAGAAATATAGAAGTGAACCTTATCTTGTAATACGTACTACGAACTACAAATCAAATACGTACTACGTACTACAAATCCAATACAAAGACATCCACGTGCACCCAGACCAGACAACCGATTACATTATCCACAGTGGCCAAAAATGAGTCAGTTTGGTCTCTTTGGTGTCAGTGGAAAGTCGGTTTGCCATGCAGTGTGACTGAGGTATTAATCATACCTCCAAAAAACCGACTTCAAATCGACCGATTCTCGGCGATTCGGGGCAATATAATAGTATGTCCGGTCTTTTGTCGGTCTGGCGTCTTCTGTTAGTTCAACAATCCGTGAATCTAAATTTCTCTCTTTCATTTGAAGAACTAGTTTTCAAAAAAGAGGATGTTAGTTTATCTTCTTCACTAACAAAGTTCTGAGAATGTATTAAATATGAGAATATTGCAAATGCATGAATTATGAGCGAAGGGCTCGGGTATGAAGTGCATATTTACATTAAGAAAAACGAATAGTAAGCACCTTGTCTAATAGCATGTTATAATGACTAATTGATGAAGATATACTGACAAGTTTGGTTTATAACCTGACAATTCTAGAGAAATGAAGCGAGCACTCTACAGCAACAGGTAACAGCATTTCACAATCTATAGAGTGTTCAAGAAAAGCGATGATAGAGACCATATTTTTTTTCTTCTCTTTTTCTCTCCCTTTCGTCTTTCTCTTTTTTTCTTTTTTCCCGCAAATCAGAAACCAGGTATATTTTTGGCAATAGGATTGTATTGTTGTAATACACTGTACAGTAATGTAGTCAGACTTCTAAAGCCGATAGGGATATGAGTGCAAAGTCCAATTTATGAAATGTTTTCATATAATCACGCTTGATTGCTTCTTCAGAATAGACCAAATAGAAAACGCTACTAAAGGGTACGTGCCAATTTACCCAGTATTTCAATGTCACATTACAATAAGTAACATGGTGTTTCGAAAGCACGGTAATATCATAGAGACAAAAACTTTGCGGGTTTGAATTACGTTTCTTTTAACATGGCGCTGTTTTCAGCAGCAGCAAAAGGAGACGTCCTGAAGATACAATCATTAATCGTCTCAGAAGACAAATCAAAGGGTTCGGGAGGAGTTGATGTAAACTGCTCGGATGCGTCTGGCAAGACACCCCTTCACATTGCTTCGGAAAACGGACATTTGCAAACGGTTGAATGGCTTACCCATCATGGAGCAAACGTGAATGTAATCGATGCTAACCTACAGACATCGGTTCACTTATGCTCAAAAATAGGCCATCTTCATGTGATAGAGCTGTTAGTGAACGAAGGAGCAGATATTAAAATTGGCGACAAAGATGGGTTTACAGCTCTTCACATAGCATCATTCAAGGGTCATGTTGACATTGTCAAATACCTTGTTAGCAAAAGGGCAGAGCTGGAGAGACTTGCTAATGATTACTGGACACCACTAAACCTTGCTTTAGACGGTGGCCATCTAGACATCGCGGAGTACCTTTTGACAAAAAAAGCCAACATTAATAGGTGTGGTAAAGGTGGATGTACAGCTCTACATACTGCCTCACAAACTGGTAATATTGATGGAGTGAAATATCTAACCAGTCATGGAGCTGAGCTGGATAGGAGCACTGAAGATGGTAAGACCGCACTTAGTTTGGCTTCATTGGAGGGACACCTTGACATTGTCAAAGTTCTCGTTAACGAAGGGGCACAGCTTGACAAATGTGACGATATCGACAGGACACCCTTGTCTTATGCTTCTCAAGAAGGCCATCTTGAAGTCGTCGAGTATATCGTGAACGAAGGGGCAGGCATTGAAATTGGTGATAAAGATGGGGTTACAGCTCTTCACATTGCATCATTCAAGGGTCATCTTGATAATGTCAAATACCTTGTTAGGAAAGGGGCACAGCTTGACATATGTGACAACAACTACAGGACACCCTTGTCTTATGCTTCTCAAGAAGGCCATCTTGAAGTCGTCGAGTATATCGTGAACAAAGGAGCAGGCATTGAAATTGGTGATAAAGATGGGTTTACAGCTCTTCACATAGCATCACTTAAGGGTCATCTTGATATTGTCAAATACCTTGTTAGTAGAGGGGCAGACCTGGGGAGACTTGCTGATGATTCCTGGACACCTTCACGCCTTGCTTTTAATGGCGGTCATCTGGATATACATGACTTTCTCTTAAATAGAGAAGCAAGAAAGATCGTTAAGCCATTCATTGGGTTTAAAGAGGACGACTATGACTACCTTCGCAGTACGTTCGGTAGTAAGGCTCTCCCTAGCTTAATGCCCCGCCCATACTCCCCAACATACGATCCATATCTTACCAGTCCACGAGACAGCTCTAGCTCCTCGAGGAAGAGTATCACAGAAGAGACAAAGATTATAAGTCTCGACGAGTACAGCATCAAGGTTCCAATTTCACCAGACGATGTGGACAGAGCCAAACTTATCACAGCAGAAGCATTGACAACCATTCCACCTGACTTAAAGCTGGAAAAAGACGAAGTTATCATCTCAGTTGGGCTCAAGCTATCCCCTCCTGGTCTTCAGTTTAAAACTCCGGTGGAAGTCACGGTCTCGCATAGCGCTATTTTCACCAACCCAGACAAGGCAGAAATTGTGCTATACACCCGAAGGACTGGTAAGATCTTCCTATTACCATAGATCCCATATTTCCATATAAATTCCTTTCTCTCGTTGTGACAGTGCAGAGAGCCATTGACTGCCACGACGAAACCATCACAATTATGACAGAGGTGTTCACACAAAATTAATGCTTCCCTACTATTCTTGGTATCATATGACCTCACTTCAATGTTTATATTCCTTTTAGAATGTTCGTATTCACTGAGTTTTACTTGATAAACTTCTATTAGAATAGAAATTCACTTTAATATTTTTTCTTAAGTCTTTGTGTTTGAATAACTCATAAGTTGCACAGTTCATACAGCCGCCATTTTCCACATTCTTGTGGATAGATCGTAGGGAATTGTAGGAATTAAACAAACAAAGATTAGGAATGATCTAAAATACTTTCCCTTCTTTGTTATACTAAATCCCTCAGCGTTGACAGTTCACGCGTAACAAAATTAACACGGTTCCTTCTTTCTATGTGTGTCTTGTTGAAAGGGTCTGATGAATTTTCAAGGACAGTTCCTGCTTCTGACAAAGCTGCTCGGTGTGTAGTCGCAAAGAATCACCTGACTCTGTACTTAGACCATTTCTCGGAATGGTGGATTATCTCCTTAATCAAGAGATACTTCATCGGTAAACGGCTCGTCTGTACGCCATACGTTCCCCTGTCAACATCCAGAGACGTCATAGACCCCATCTTGCTCGTCATTAAAGACGACTGCTACGGCATGAAAGAGGTAGTTCTGTAACGAAATAACAGTCCGGTTTATTTCTGGTCCATGTTATGTGTAATGATCCTTTTTTCCTTCTCATTTCGTCACGAAACTTTCCAACCTTGCACATCTTATAGTCAATTTCGTATTTGGTCATTCATTTTTAGACTTTGTCCAATCGATTTCATCATTTTGCATCTAGCTTCGTCAAAGTCAAATCAAGTTCATCATCCTTGGTTGCTGACGTACATTTATTGCATGAAACAATTTTGTCAGTTTGCAACCAATTTCGTTAGAGCATCATTCAAATACCTTATCCTACCCCCGGACAATTGCCCCATAGGATAGTTGTCCGGGAGGTAGTTGTCCTAGAGGATGGTTTTCGTAGGGGTTAGTTCTCTGGGGGTAGTTGTCCGGGGAGTAAATGTCCGAGGGTAGTTGTCCTAGGGGGTAGTTGTCATGCGGGTAGTTGTCCGGGGTAGTTGACTAAGGGGGTAGTTGCCCTATGGGGTAGTTGTCTGGGGTAGTTGTCCGGGGGTAGTCGTCTTAGAGGGTAGTTGCCCTAGGGGGTAGTTGTCCTAGGGATAGTTGTCCCAGGGGTAGTTGACTGGGGGCTGTTATCGAGGTGGTGGATGTCCAGGAGGTAGGTGTCCCAGAACCCCTGGTAATTGCTGGCGGTTATTGCAATGCCGTCCGAAAGAACAGCATTAATTATCTCAGAGTTTACTTATCATAATCTCTTATTAGTCTTTCCCCCCAATTATATCACTATTATTATCATTGTCACTATTATTTGTTCAATATTGATTCATATGTTCAATCTCTTGCAGGATACCATACAAGAGTACAAGGCAGCCTATCCTGGTGAGCAGTACTGTGTATATTGGAGACAAGGACCCCTACTTGTCAGACATCTGGAAAACGAAGACGAAGTGTCAACACAGGTAAGAATCTCAATATAATTGATACTGTTATTTCCCCCGAAGTAAATTATCCTGACAAACAAATTGTCCGTTTCTTATTAGGCAGGGCCTAATATATATATACACTGTCGCTCATAAAGTTGGAATATTTTTGTTTTACCCCAACTTCTGGAATTATTAAACAAATTATTTATTCCTAGTAGATCTAGATAATAGTATACATTCTCAGATTTTATTGAATAATAATTTGCCTGTGTTTGTTTTGCGTGACTGCTAAAGCATGTGTACGCTAATATGCTTATGAACTAGGGGACCTACGCCCTTAAGTCACAAATGACAGTAATGAGGATTAATGCCCCATAAAAGGGCATTAATATGGCACATCAACACGGTTTTGATCCTGGGGCCTCACAGTTATGAGGCCATTGATTTGTCACTAAACCATGACTGTACGCAGCGGTGGCTTGGTTAGGGGGCAGTTCCCACAATTTTTTTTTAAAAATTCAATAATTAATTAAATTCTATCCCGTTCCCCAACAGGAAAAAAATCCTCTGTGTGCCAATGCCTTGAGCCATAATGCATGGCCGCGTACAGAGCATTTTTATAATTTTTAGTCGATTAATGTTTCATAAAAGGGCACTTATATAGTACATCGACACAATTTTGATCCTGGGGCCTCACAGCTACTAGGCTATTGCTTTGCCACTGAATCATGACTGTACGCAGCGGGGGCTAGGGTAGGGGGCAGCCCCCAGAAATAAAAACAAAACAAAGAAAATGCAATAAATTATCAATAATTAGTTGTATTTCCCCCCGGTCCCCAACAGGAAAATTCCTGTGTTACCATGCCTTGAACCATAATGCATGGCCGTGCACAGTAATTTTTCCTGTTGGGGACCGGGGAAAATGCAATGAATCCACGATAATTTATTGCATTTTGGGGTGTTTTTTTGTGTGTGGACTGCCTCCTTTGTGTGGACTGCGTACAGTCATGATACAGTGGCAAAGCAATTGCCTCGTAACTGTAAGGCCCCAGGATCAAAACCGTGTCGATCAGCTATACTAGTGCCCTTTTGTGAGGCATTTATCCTCATTACCGTCAGCTATGACTTAAGGACATGAGAATGTATACTGTTATCTAGATCTATTAGGAATAAATCATTGTCAAAATTATTCCACAAATTGGGTTAAAAATGATATTCCACCTTCATGAACACAGTGTCTTATTACGTGGTCTTGATGAGGTTACTTGGTTCTCGTTATAATATTATTTTAGGAAAAACGATTCAAACATTGGCCATAGGGGTTAGGCTCGACTAGCACATGTGCTATTATCTGGCTCCTTTTAGCAACCAATAGTTTCTCTTCTTGTATATGTAAATTATTGTATGAAATGTATTGCTGTTGGTAAATCAATCAAATCAATCAATTGAATTCATGGTATCACTTTTAGATTATAATGTAGGCCTACCATGGCACAATTCCTTTAACTTCGTAGGATGTTAATTGATGGTTATCTCTGATTTTATTAGGAACTTGAAGTACGTGCTTTCTTTGACATGACGACTAATCGGATGCCGTTCGCTCTTCAGTCACGTGAACAAATAGTATCCGGAGTTCTCGTCACGCTCATCTTGAAGCAAGCAATCACGAAGCGTATCGCCTTCAAAGTACTGTACAACGGTAATATATTCTAGGGCATGAATTCCTTTGGGGAGGGGTGGCTTAAAGACCTACACTAGCAGAGAAAAGTGTATTCTTGTGTAGTTCCAGGAATGATTATTTCTATTATATAGAAAAAGACACCTGTCTACCAAGGCAGGAACTCCCAAAGATCCTAGAGAATAGAACTCGATGAAAAAGCTTGTCAAATCAGTGCGAGAACGCTCGACCTAGTTAGTACATTATTTTTTTTACGTGCAATGCTATACAGTTCATTTAGTGTAGCAAAAGCACCATGTCAAGTGACTCCAACTTGGAATAATTATTATTTTAGGCTAATCGTTTCTCATCACGTTAATATCATATGTATTCACAATTCAGATGTGCCGCATGAGAATCCAAGTGCCAGATCAACTCCGACAGGATCTGCATCACCCAAGGGCAAAGGTGAACCAACTGATATTGGACGGGAAACATCTAAATGTAAGATTTAAAATATATTTATTAATATTATTTTTCCTTTTGATATACAGGGCATCTTTTCACAAAACCCCCATGGTACAAGTGAAAAATGTAGTGTACAAAATTAACTCGCTTTCAATGGGATGTCGGCGAGCTTGTTATATGAAACAATTTCCTTATAGTAGAGAGACGATTTTACCGAAATCGAAAAAATAACATTATATTTGTGCTATTCTGATTCGATTCTGATTTGATTTTGATTGATTTTTGTATCATCAGCATCTCAGCTCTTCGAAGAGCTGACGAGAAGCGAGCATCATAATCTTGAAACGATAGGTACAACATCACCTGAGCCTGCAGACACAAGGGGTAAGACTATGTCCTATCAGGAGCGGTTCTGAAGGAATACATATATACATGTATGTTATTTGAGAGGGGCCACAGGGGGATGCAGGAGGTGGGGTCTTCTAGCATTCGTTTTCTACATATTTTTTTTTTGGGGGGGGGGGAGGGGGGAAGGGGGCTCAAGAGCTGCTACTACGGCCTTTATTCTTGAAATTGGCCTTTGTTTTAAATATCCTTTAATGTATTATCATTGTAATTTTATACCGTATAATTTCTACTCTGTAAATTGAACAATTTTATTTCTTCGCTACATGTTTCATGATATCGTCTGAAGGATGTCAATAAACCAAAATAATACAATATAATTCGACAGTCGCCTTGCGATAGATAACGGATCAGTCAGAGTTCTTTACAGTGCAAGTTGGAGTCTGGTTTAATAATTTTCTAAAACTTTTGTTTTACGTTGCTTTATTTCAGATAGAAGTAGTCCTACTGAAGACCTTACAAGACTTAGGCCGTTGACTCCGCCATCGATAGAGTCACCGTCATGTGAACATGCCTACCAAGTCACACATGAATTGCTAACAGAAACAGAGACAGTTGGTAAGGAGCTGAAAGATAAAGTCGTTTTCTAGGCTCGGTAACAACACAAATGTCAATAGTACTTCAACAAAATTAAGCTTATCTCCTCTTATCAATCGTAATTTTAAGGTGACATTTGGAGTTATGTTACAGATAGTAACGAACGAAATTCTTTTGCAAAACATTATTGTTCATAATTATGCTACACTCGATCCATGTGTAATAAGTGGGCAGGCTACCTGAAACGGTTGCTGGAACTTTAACCGGGTTAATAATATCTTAAGTACTTTGGAGGCACAAATAATTGCGATATACGCTTATATCCTTTACAAGCTCTTCGGAAATTCGAACGATATTATTAGTTTACGACATCATCTTTTTGTTCAAATTTGTTTTAAGCTCCGACATCATCGACAGTGCCCGTCCATTCATTAGAGTCTGCAGCTGAGGGGATAATGGGAGTCTTAGCTCCACAAGCATTTGCGGCAAACGTTGTCCAAGAATTGGTTCCAGGACCTTTAGCAGATCCAGTGCACCAGCGTTCTGGGAACGTCAATATCTACGTCCGAGAGATGGTCATCAACAATCCCCAAGGGAATAATCCTCAAGGAAATACTGTTGCCTCTCCCCCTGTACCAATTGCTTCCATAATACCTCCTAGGCTACAGCATGAGCTGCGTTGTCGGTTGAACAGAGAAAGCCCAGTTTTTGATGACTGGAGGGGTCTTGCCAATCAGCTTGAACTTCAAGACTACATACAATCACTGGAGCAGTGCAAAAATCCGACTGAAGAACTACTCGTACTTGCAGAGAGTCAAAAGAAGATTCAGGACCTTGGGGACTTGTGTAAGGCGTTCGAACGCATGAATCGTGGGGATTGCCAAGAGCTCTGCGAGAACTATGCGTTTAAGAGAACAAAGTCAGCTGATCCTCGGAAGGATCAAATGGAAGATGATGACACAGACACCAGTGATTAGGGAACAGACTCGATGTGTTCCACATTACCCTTTAATCCAGGGTCTATGGCTTGTTATTCAGACAACCTATGAACATTATATTGTTATTGTTGTAATATATAATTGCAATGACGAACCTTCGTCATTGCCTTGTTTTCGTTCACATTCTGCCCCATTAATATTCTCCTTATATTCCTCGTCAGAAAATCGCATTCGTTTTGCACGTAGTGTTTGTGATTCCTAGTTAGGTGCTTTCCTCATGTCCATTTCATTTCAAATTTCATAGGCATAGTCTCTAGCATCTCATCAAGGTCACCTACTTTTTCGATTTTCGAAATCACTCATGCATGACCGTCCAGGCGCCATTTTGTCCGTTTCTGGTCCATTTTAAGGCCTTTCTTTCTTCCTTCCTATCTCCACTATCCTAGATCCTACAAACTTCTAACAAATTCCTCTAGAAAATCAAAGAGATGTTCTTTCATCTGCGACGTATGACTTGACCTTCAAAATGCCATCTTCGTACTCAAAATTTAAATCTGAAACTGACTCCGTCAAAAATCTCTCAAATTCTTGAAAAATGAACCCCTAAAAATCTAAAACTGCCATAACTTTCTCATATAAATTCCGTTTTGTGTTTAAATCTCACATTATCCTTATCTCATAATTGCACATAGCCATGCCAAATTTCATGCTCCAATGGCTATGCAAAACATAAATAGCGCCCTCTAAAGTTCTGGGAATTGGCTTTCTTTCTGTGGCCGTATCTCCATAATGGCTTGGCAAACCCGTACCCTTTTTTGGATTTAGATACTTGACGATATGCCCTTTCCAGCCATATACAAAATTATATACCCTATCACTGACCAAATTTGAGAAAATTGCCCTCCAAATTCGCCATTTTCAAGAAAATTGAGAAATAACTTCAACTTGCTCTAAACCGGCGATCTTTATACCTACATCAAAGAAACTTGGCAGACACATGTATCCATATACGTGACAACTGTCTGCTAAGTTTAGTAAATTGTAATGCCCTCTTCGCCAAGTTATCGCCCGAAATGATGAATTTACTATGCTTTACGTACTAGCGCGTTTGATGCGTGCAGAACGTTTTGCGCAGATGACACTGGTTTCAAACTGACCGCACTGAAGTGCCCTTTCGGATGATACCAAGTATGGTATATGTTCACGCAGAAAATTGTGAGTAAATCGCATTTGAACAAGGGTCACTATACGAATTCCGCCGAGTTTCCGCCCTATTATAACACGTTTCGGCCATGACGTCATTTTTTAAGACTGTTATTTGGTTGTGTTAGTATGGGCGGCCGTCCGTGCCAAAGCACGCGTCGCAACATGTTCACCATGCACCAAGTCCTATTGGTTTTGCACGCAGTGCTTGCGAGCCCTTTCTAGATCCCTTCCTCTACTCCAACTCCCTTCAAAATTCGTAGGCGCAGTCTCTAGCATTCCTTCAAGGTCACTAGATTCTTCGTTCTCCTGAAACCCTCATGCGTGACCGTCCAGGCACCATTTTTTCCGTTTCGGGCCGTTTTGATGACCTTTCTTTCGCCCTGACTATCTCCACTATCACAGAAGCTACCAACTTCTTACATATTGCTCTGGATAGTAACAGTCAGAGAGTAGCTCCTTCGTTTGACACGTAGAAACATGGCGTCATTGCACGCACATCGTTGTGACACGATTGCATTTCTAGTTATATTTGTTGTTGTAGTCCACCACTGACAATTCAAGTACCTGTCATTTGGTTTAAAAAAAAACACAATCTGTAGAATTGCTCGAAAAGTAATAAGGGTATATAATGTAACTCATTTAAGCCTTATCCTAAAATCGTGTTTAAAAGAAAACTTAGATCTCAGACCAATTTTTGTTTTTAACCCACTTATTTTGACAAAAGTCTCAATCCAGCGTCCGATTTAAGTATTGGTACAATTTGGGCCTATGAAATTGAACAAATATTGGTTAAAGAGGAAATATGCATGTATTTTGGATAGATAACTTCCCAATATTGCTTAAACCTTATGCAATTTTAAGTATATTATACCCAGTATTGTGTAAACGCTCGCCCTCTTGTTAAATGCTTCGCTGCAACAACATAATTACATTGATTGCTTTTACAAGAACGAAGCAGTGAGATTCACTCTTGGAACATTCATCGATTTTAAGAAAGCAATTTTGACACATTTAATCATAATACTACTAGCTAAACTCTCTTATAATGGCATTCGAGGTTACCTCTTGCATGGTTTACAGAGAAGGTTGAGTTCTGGGAAGAGGTGAAAAATAATTTATGAGCGTTATCATTCTTATTATGCAAGTGTGGAAGAACATCAGATAAGACATGTTCCCTGAAAAGCACGGCTCTTCAAATGCCTTCATATTCTAAATATTTCATGTAACATCGTAAAAATCCAGGGTAGGATTCTTACGCCACGTGTTCGTGTAGTCCCATTTACATCTTTCTGTGTACAGTGTTTGTAACTTTACCAAGACTTGGCCAAATTTCTTATCTTTTTGATGATTCCAGAACTTTGCAATACACACAAATTCTTATAT